CGCCACACTCACAGATGGAAGCACCTGCAGGGAGTCCAATTCCACATCATCAACCATAAGAAGCCGGTTGATCATCTGATCGGCCTGGACAACGCACCGTATCACGTGGCAAAAGCAGAAATAATAGGCAACGAAGGAGAACCCATTGCTCGCCTAACAAAGCTTGGATGGACGTGCGTTGGGAATTCGAACCCAGGAACAACACCACGAATGAACACTGGCCAATCCTTCCTGATCAACGGCATCCGAGCATCGAGCAATGCAGACCATGAACTAAACGACTTAGTATGGAGACTCTGGGAAATCCAAGAGGTGAGCCCTGCCAAGGCCCAACAGCTGGATGACGATGAACGGCAAGCCGTAACATCAGTACAGCAATCAATCAAGTCACCGTGATACAGATGATACAGATGATACAGATGATACAGATGATACAGATGATACAGATGATACAGATGATACAGATGATACAGATGATACAGATGATACAGATGATACAGATGATACAGATGATACAGATGATACAGATGATACAGATGATACAGATGATACAGATGATACAGATGATACAGATGATACAGATGATACAGATGATACAGATGATACAGATGATACAGATGATACAGATGATACAGATGATACAGATGATACAGATGATACAGATGATACAGATGATACAGATGATACAGATGATACAGATGATACAGATGATACAGATGATACAGATGATACAGATGATACAGATGATACAGATGATACAGATGATACAGATGATACAGATGATACAGATGATACAGATGATACAGATGATACAGATGATACAGATGATACAGATGATACAGATGATACAGATGATACAGATGATACAGATGATACAGATGATACAGATGATACAGATGATACAGATGATACAGATGATACAGATGATACAGATGATACAGATGATACAGATGATACAGATGATACAGATGATACAGATGATACAGATGATACAGATGATACAGATGATACAGATGATACAGATGATACAGATGATACAGATGATACAGATGATACAGATGATACAGATGATACAGATGATACAGATGATACAGATGATACAGATGATACAGATGATACAGATGATACAGATGATACAGATGATACAGATGATACAGATGATACAGATGATACAGATGATACAGATGATACAGATGATACAGATGATACAGATGATACAGATGATACAGATGATACAGATGATACAGATGATACAGATGATACAGATGATACAGATGATACAGATGATACAGATGATACAGATGATACAGATGATACAGATGATACAGATGATACAGATGATACAGATGATACAGATGATACAGATGATACAGATGATACAGATGATACAGATGATACAGATGATACAGATGATACAGATGATACAGATGATACAGATGATACAGATGATACAGATGATACAGATGATACAGATGATACAGATGATACAGATGATACAGATGATACAGATGATACAGATGATACAGATGATACAGATGATACAGATGATACAGATGATACAGATGATACAGATGATACAGATGATACAGATGATACAGATGATACAGATGATACAGATGATACAGATGATACAGATGATACAGATGATACAGATGATACAGATGATACAGATGATACAGATGGGAAATACACTGTGGGTGTAACATGGAAGTCAGACCCGGCAAAGCTACAGAGCAGCTACAATATGGCCTTAAGCGACTAGGTCCCACCGAGAAACGCTTGCTGAATGTCTGCAACACAGTACAGCAACACAATCAATCGCTACCGAAAACTTGGATATATCTCAGAAGTAAAACCGGACGACAAGCAAACCGGATGATATCTGCCTCACTTCCCAATTAAACAAATGGGCCGAGAGGCGACGAAAGTGAGAATTGTATTTGATGCTGCAGCACAAGTCTCAGGAGTATCACTAAACAGTGCCATCAGTCCCGCACCCAAGCTTCAACGCAACTTAACAGAGGTACTTCTACGGTTTCGGAAGGAACCTGTGGCAGTGGTCTGTGATATTGCAGGAAGGTGTCTACAGATTGCCATTCCAGAGACGGATCGAGCATATCACCGATTCCTATGGCGAGAACCAGGATCAACACAACCGCTGACGGTATACGAATTCAACTGAGTGGTCTTTGTCAGCACCTCCATTTCTCGCCCAGTACGTAACACAAGAGCATGCCAGACAATGTGCTGATGATCTACCACTGGCTTCCGCAGCAGTTTTGAATTCGAACTACATGGATAATACCATGACTTCAGCCAGTGATGATGAAGGCAAGTTACTACACTCCCAACTATCAATATTGTGGTCATCTGCCGGAATGCACCCACGGAAATGGCTCACCAACTCCGTTAACGTCTTGGCTCAAGTTTTCCAAGAAGACAGAGCTTCTCAATTGGAACTTGACTCGGAGCAGTTACCAGCAGTGAAAACGCTTGGAATACTCTGGGAGGCAAAGCAAGATGAGTTCACCTTCAAGGTTTCAGAGACAGAGGAGCAAGCTATGACCAAACGTCTGTTTCTTCGGAAAATCTCTAAGCTCTTTGACCCACTGGGCTTCCTCACTCCATTTGTGGTGCGAGCGAAAATGCTATTTCAACAGATGTGGCTCGACATGTATGACTGGGATGATCCCTACCAGCTAATGTAGTTGCAACAGCCCAGCAGTGGTTTCGGGAACTGCCAGCGCTAGCCGCAGTTCGGATTCCGTGGTGCACCCAACAAGCATCATCCAAGTAGGCACTGAGTACACACACTGAGTACACACACTGAGTACATACACTGAGTACACACACTGAGTACATACACTGAGTACATACACTGAGTACATACACTGAGTACACACACTGAGTACATACACTGAGTACATACACTGAGTACATACACTGAGTACATACACTGAGTACATACACTGAGTACATACACTGAGTACACACACTGAGTACACACACTGAGTACATACACTGAGTACACACACTGAGTACACACACTGAGTACACACACTGAGTACACACACTTTTTGAGAGGACATTCCTTGATGTCCGGGTTTTCAACCCATTTCCTCAAACCAGAAGTCATCAATCCCGGTAGTGTACCGCAAGCACGAAAAGGAAAAGAGAAGAGGTTATGAGAGAAGAGTCGTTGAGGTAGAGCACGGGTCATGCTCAACACCACAGGTGGTCATGGCAAGGCAGCTGGCAATCTCTACGCTCGGATTGTATCCATGTTGGCCGATAAGAGGTCGGAGCCTTTATCGTCATGGCATACATCCGCACTCAACTGTCTTTTGCGCTGGTCAATGCCGCAGTCACAGTCCTGAGAGGTCATCGGCACACAGCGTCAAGAATCAACGGCTGTACTTCGATCACGTTAGCAGTGGCAGAATGCAGCATGTAATGGTCAATCCTTGACTTAGTTTGGTAATCGTTTTAGTACCTCGACCCCCGTGCTGAGTTTGATATGGTTTCTGGTTTCTTGGCCAAAGACTACTACGCATACTGCTTCTAGCGGTTTCTTTGCATTTTACTGATTGATTACTAGTACTAAAAAAGGGTTTGCTCCCCACACCGGAGCTCGCGCTATTCGGTGTGGGGAGCAAACCCTTTCTTACAAATCATCGCCGAAGTCGTAACCACTACTTTGATTACTAGTACTGTTTACTGTATTTATTTCACCATGGCTGGTTAAGGCTGGTTAAAATCGCCCGCATCACATGCTTATTGGCACTATGTCATTTTGATTGTGAAATAATAATAATAATTTAAAGTACACACACTGAGTACACACACTGAGTACACACACTGAGTACACACACTGAGTACATACACTGAGTACATACACTGAGTACATACACTGAGTACATACACTGAGTACATACACTGAGTACACACACTGAGTACACACACTGCGTACACACACTGAGTACACACACTGACTACATAGGTGCATATCTTCGCCGATGTCTCACAGGATGCCTAAGGAGCAGTAGCATACTGTACTATCGAGTGATGAACAGAGACGAGACAGTGTCATGCCGACCCATAATGTCAAGGAGCAGAGTCGCGCCAACCACCGCCACCAGCATTCCAAGATTGGAGTTCCTCGCCGCAGTAGCTGGTGTAGACCTAGTGAAACCAATCATCAAAGCACTCAGTCACTCCACATCAGTCGTCTTCTGGACCGACAGCCAGGACGTCCTACATTGGATACGTGGAGCAAGTCGAAAACTGAAGACCTTCGTGGGAAATCGTGTTGCGTACATTCAGGAATCCACCCATCCATCACAGTGGCGTTATGCACCCACTGCAGAAAATCCAGCAGATCATTTGACACGGGGACACTCAGCCAAATTCCTGGCACAACACTCGCAATGGTGGGAAGCACCGAGTTTCCTTCAGCTGATGGAGTCTGAGTGGCCGGCAACAGATCTACCCGGGAAGAGCAGCACTGCAGTCGACAAAGAGACACGGAAGTCGACCAAATTCGATTCAGCAGCAATACGATGTGTGAAGAAGCAGACTGACACTGAGACAGCTAAGTCAGCAGCTAATGCACAAGCTCAGTCAGTTGTGCTAGCAACGCAAAATTCAGCGGAGAACAACAGCAGTGGTTGGCGACTTGATCCCAGTCGTTACTCTAAATGGCTAGTATTGGTCCGACAGGCGGCATGGGTTATTCGTTTTGCGAACAATTGTCGAGAGTTATGACTGGTCTAACAACGGACACGGGGAAATAGTAGACGCTGAGAAGACAGTCATTAAAAGCTGCTTAAATGTAAGCATTTCCAGCAGAGTACGAGTTAGTCCGGAAAGGAAAAGCGGTCCCAACAGGCAGCAAGTTGGCGTGTCTCTCCCCATTCCTGGAGGAATTGGGCATTCTACGAATACGAGGACGCCTACAAAATACGCAATTCCTGTCGTATGATGCTCAACATCCAATGATCATGGCTCGGAACGGACATGCCATGCAACTTCTAGTCCGACATTATCGCGAGAAGGCAGGACACAGCAGTGGCGTCAAGGAAACCATGACACAACTGCAGGAACGTTTCTGGGTTATAGCAGCAAGAGAGGTGATCCCGGCCACAAAGGTAGAGGCAGCCTGCAATTATTGTAAGCGAAAGAAAGCTAGGCCAGCAAAACAAGTGATGGCACCACTGCCGAAGAGCCTACTGTCAGAACCGTTGGAAGCCTTCGCAAGAACATCTGTCGACTACGCTGGCCCCTTCGAGACAAAGCAAGGTCGTGGTCAGCGTCGGGCTAAGCAGTATCTCTGTCTGTTCACGTGTATGACCAGTCGTGCAGTGCATCTAGAAATGGCTACTTCACTATCAACAGACTGCTTCCTGAACGCATTCGAGCGTTTCTGCAGCAGAAGAGGAGTGCCAACACATGTGCGGTCGGACAATGGTACGAATTTCGTCGGTGCACAGCGGGAACTACAAGAGTTGATCAACCAGTTTGACGAAGAGAAGATCGCTCAGAAAGCAGCCAACAATAGTATCCACTGGTCCTTCAATCCTCCACTTGCACCACATTTTGGAGGTGTTCATGAAGCTATGGTAAAATCGGCAAAATGAGCCCTTCGTGCCGTCCTCCAGAATGCAGATGTGACAGATGAAGAACTCCAGACAGCGTTTGTTGGAGTAGAAGGTTTGCTCAACTCTCGTCCGCTCTCGTACGTGTCGTCTGATCCACGTGACGACATCCCACTGACACCAAACCACTTCCTCATAGGCATGGCTGGTGGAAGCTTTGCCCCAGAAGTGGATGCGACTGATTTCAGCCCCACTCGTTTGCTTTAGCATTTTATCGCTCCACAGGTACTCTCAGTCTCAGGTACTCTCATTTGTGCAATTGTTAATTTTGCTCCTGAATTGTCCTCCCTTTTGCTTTGCTACCGTCCTCCTCCTTCCTCCACCCTTTTGCTTAATTAACCTCATTATCATATTCGCTTCCATGTAATTGGGCTCGTAGCCCGTGTGTACTTGCGAATTCAAATAAAAACACACATACATACTCGTCCATCCTCGGCCATGTGCTGAGGATGAGTGAGCAGTCACCCCCTTGCCTTGCGATGTCCTGCTATTTTCAAGCGGGGTCACGTGGACGAAGGGGCCGTCCCGCGGCTACTCTCCCTACCACCATCATGAAGGACCTGACAGGGCACGACATCCCTTCGAAGAATGCCAGCGACCTAGAAGGAGCACGAGCATTAGCTGCAGACAAGTCGAAATGGAGATCAGACATTGTTTATGGATGAGTTTTTGTTGACTGGAGACAGAAGCGGACTTGGCTTAATTACAGTTTATTCCCATGCATTGTTCTCTGTCCTTTGCACACGTGCTGTGGTATTATTTAAAGAGTCGGCGTGGAGAAAGCAATTATATCAGTGCAATTAGGAGTATAATCGATGCAGACATGGCCAGACAACAACGAGTTCATGGAATTTTTTAAGGAATTTTATGTTATTCAAAATCGATTTTCGTGTTCCGCTCATGAGTGAATAGTATCGGAACTGAGGGTACTGTGTACAAAAATAGAACATTTTATAACAGCATAATAATTAAAAGTGTGAACAACAAAGGAAGTGCTACAGAGGAAGTGCTACAGCATTACATAATAGGTGTCAAACATAGTGCTAACGTATATAACTGAGTGCAGCCACAAAGCAAGAGGTGATACAGTGCAACATGACACAACATTTACATCTGATAACCAGCTACGAGAACAACTTTAGCGCGACTACATGCTTCTTTTGTTTACAAAGAACAGGATTATGCACACGAATACATACAGCTTCCAGAACCTTCAACTGCTTAACATAACTTGCACGGCACAAAACAGAAAAGTGAGAATCATCGTACACACTAAGACAATCTGGACGTGATAACAAGTGACAAAATACAGCTGACTTTTTGCTCACGTCGCTCTCTTCCGTCTCATCCCGCTCCTTTCCTTCGACCTCCTCCGCCTTATCCTCGTCCTCCGTCTCATCTTCATCATCATCGTCCTCATCACCACCATCATCATCATCAGTCACTTCCTCATCATCCGTTTGATGCTCAGTCTCACTGCACTCCTTATCAGCCTCCAACATGGCTCCATCATCTCCACCAGCATCACAAGTCGTTTGACCGCTGCTCTGCGTCACCGTTGTTGGGTTTTCTGCTACTGCACACCCATTTCCACTGTCCATTTTGCGTGGGCCAAGTCCATTCCGTGCATAAGTTTCAAGTGAATAGTTTGCTGTGCTTCTTCTGGGTCTATGGGTGAGGATATTGGTTTCATTTTGATGATGATGATGATGGTGGTGATGAGGACGATGATGATGAAGATGAGACGGAGGACGAGGATAAGGCGGAGGAGGTCGAAGGAAAGGAGCGGGATGAGACGGAAGAGAGCGACGTGAGCAAAAAGTCAGCTGTATTTTGTCACTTGTTATCACGTCCAGATTGTCTTAGTGTGTACGATGATTCTCACTTTTCTGTTTTGTGCCGTGCAAGTTATGTTAAGCAGTTGAAGGTTCTGGAAGCTGTATGTATTCGTGTGCATAATCCTGTTCTTTGTAAACAAAAGAAGCATGTAGTCGCGCTAAAGTTGTTCTCGTAGCTGGTTATCAGATGTAAATGTTGTGTCATGTTGCACTGTATCACCTCTTGCTTTGTGGCTGCACTCAGTTATATACGTTAGCACTATGTTTGACACCTATTATGTAATGCTGTAGCACTTCCTTTGTTGTTCACACTTTTAATTATTATGCTGTTATAAAATGTTCTATTTTTGTACACAGTACCCTCAGTTCCGATACTATTCACTGATGAGCGGAACACGAAAATCGATTTTGAATAACATAAAATTCCTTAAAAAATTCCATGAACTCGTTGTTGTCTGGCCATGTGGTATTATTATTATTATTACGCGTGCTGTGGTATTATTATGCGTGCTGTGGTATTTTTGTGCGTGCTGTGGTATTATTATTATTATGTATATTATACATACTCGTCGGTGGCGATACGTGCAGAACTTGATCAAGAACAGCTGGCAACGGTGGATGATGGAACTCGTGCCAGCTCTGAATTCCATACAGCAGTGGCGGACACAGCAGAAGACAATGAAGATTGGCGATGCTGTCGTTGTTGTCGCTTCAGCCACGCCACGCGGCCAATGGCCCATCGGTCGCATTGTGGAGGTCATGCCAGGACCGGATGGCAATGTTAGAGTTGTGCGTGTCCAAGTGGGCTCCAAAGTCTTCACCCGACCTATCACGAGAGTTTGCCCGATCGTAGAGGAAGAATCACTGTAAGCACTGTAATGACTGAAATGTTTTGCTGAGTGCTAGTAGTAGTAGTAGTAGTAGTAGTAGTAGTAGTAGTGCTAGTAGTGCTAGTAGTAGTAGTAGTAGTAGTAGTAGTAGTAGTAGTAGTAGTAGTAGTAGTAGTAGTAGTAGTAGTAGTAGTAGTAGTAGTAGTAGTAGTAGTAGTAGTAGTAGTAGTAGTAGTAGTAGTAGTAGTAGTAGTAGTAGTAGTAGTAGTAGTAGTAGTAGTAGTAGTAGTAGTAGTAGTAGTAGTAGTAGTAGTGCTAGTAGTAGATTATACAATCTCACAGCACAATGTCATTGCTTGTCGCAACAACAACTTATAGTATGTTCAGTATCATAATAGCAGAGTAGAGGTTGATTAACGGCGGGTTAATCAAGGAAGGGGAGGATGTTTAGAAGCATACAGTACTTCCTACATTTACGATTATTCTTCCATGATCCTTGCATGGCGCCATTACACACTGGAGAGTACTTATACCACCACTAAGTATATGTAGTCTTCATTGTTTCCAGAATACAATACTGGTGCCGCTATGCTTCATTTGCAATAGGTCCTTGTGCAGTTGTATGGACTTATCTTCACTGCAATATCAGTTTCATGCTCCAATGCTTCCTTTACAGCAGTGAGGTGTGCTGCGATTAATCAATGGCATTTCCAGCTTGCTTGCTACACTATCACATACTCTCTTTAGCTGTTTTGCTGCCTGCTGCTTGTTTCAATAGACACCAGCTAAAGCTTCCTAGCTGGCCCCCTTGCCCTTGTTAGATTCAGTATAAGTTCTTTAGTTTGTATCTCATACGTTGTTGATTGAGTAGAGGCCTTGCTAGAGCCCTTGTTAGATTCTCTATAAGTTCCCTAGTTTGTATCTCATACATTGTTGATTGAGTAGAGGCCTTGCTAGAGCCCTTGTTAGGTTTTGCTCTATGTTCATCACTAGTTTTGTTTAGAGTTCAAACAGCTCAGATCTATGTGTGTAGACTGTGTGTGAGAACGGGGAACTAGTATTTGTGAAAGGGTCGGGCTTGAGCCTTCCGAACACTGATCAATGGTGGTAAGTGGCGTAGTGTGTACAACTGAGCTGCAGCTGCTGTCATGCGGTAGGAAGCCTGCTTAAATACTGCTTCTACACACTGCCATCAGTAAAAGATATATCCAGGATGTTGTAAGCAACTGAATCCGGTTTTGAGCTGCTCACTCCTGCTCTCATGTACTCTATCCCAAATACATATCTGACCGAGTAGTCCGGCCAACACCATAGCTTGGTCGTAGAGTGTTGCAGGCCATGAACGAGGGCCCCTTGTCTGATTCCTTCTGGCTACATTCAATGTGTTCTTCAGCCTCTACCTGTCTTAACTCACTCAACCTTGTAATAGTTGAGAGGCGGTGATTTCAGATGGTTTAGGAAATTATCACCCACTACCTACCCCCACCCCTCCCTTCACCCTCCCCCCCCCCCCCTCTCTCTCCCATCACCCCTGCCCCCCCCCCCCTCCCTTCACCTCCCCGCACCACACAATAATTCAGAAGAGGTCAGTGGTCATTTGTGGGTGAGGCTGATTTCAGGTCCACTGGTCAGTGTAGGGCAATTTCACTCGATAATCTTTGCTATCATATTGGAATCCATAGTTCAACAATAATGACAACTTGCTGTAGCCGTCGGCATCCGTTTATTCATATTGTACTCTATTCTCTATTTTGCATGTGCCGCTTGTGTGTGTGTATGTGTTTGTATGCGTGTGTGTGTGTGTGTGTTTGTATGCGTGTGTGTGTTTGTGTGTGTGTGTATGCGTGTGTGTGTGTTTTTTGCGTGTGTGTGTATGTATGCGTGTGCGTGTGTATGTGTATGTATGGGTGTGCCTGTGTTTGTTTGTGGCCTTGGCTACTTTTTAGGTTGGAAGTGGAGGTCTGATTCCCGGTGCAGCCATGGGTTACAATGACACAATGGTTCAGATAGGCCCCATTTTATCATCATTGCAGGTAAAATGCACTGATGGGTCTGGAGAGAGAATGAGTGAGTGAATTAGTGAATGAGTGATTGAGTGATTGAGTGAGTGGGTGAGTGAGTGAGCACGTGAGCTGGTGATGCTTGTGCAGATGATTGTGATGATGGTGTTGGCTGTAGTGTTGGTGCTACTGGCGACTCTGGTGGTGGTGCTTGTGCGGATGGCAATGGATGTACGTGTGCTGGTGGTATCGATGGTATCAGTGGTGATACTGGAGTGCCGGTGCTGGCATTGGTGATATGTGCAGCACTGGAT